AGCTGTCCCTTGAGTGAGGCGCACTCACAGCAGTCACACAGGCGGCGTGGTGAGAACGTAGCTCAGTGAGCTCTGGAATACTCAGTACTCCAGGGCTGTGGTCTTGATGGGGTGGTGAGGGGGAGGCGCCCGCTGGGCAGGGGTCCTGGGTGGGCTTCAGTGGGGGTGGGACCCCAGTGCAGGGACAGGTGAGGCGTCAGGTGGCAAGGAAGACGGCTTTCGCCCACGGCCCTGCTGTGCCAGGGGCCGGCACTGCTCCGTCTGACAGCCCTGCCTCGGCCCCCGCACCAGTTACAAGCTCTTAGTCACAACTTCCTGCCTGTGCTTGTCTCAGCAGCAGGAGAAGGAACAGCGTGGACGCCAAGCTGCTGCTCCTCCCACTCCCTCCAGCCGCCCCCCGCCCCAGTCAGAGGCCCCGACAGACTGCAGATGGGTGGGCGGGGACTGACCCTGAGTCCTCAGCCTGTGAGGCCTGGGCGGCTGGCGGCCAGCAGGACAGGGTGGAGGACGTTCCGCATAAAAAGATGCAGCTGTGATTGGCGGTCCCTGAGAATAAGGAGAAGCCGGCTCCCCGTGTGAAACCGACACGGATCACCAAGCAGACCTCTGCATCCCTGTTCAGTCCTTACAAGATCCCTGGGAGGGAGGCACGTCTGTTACCGCCCGCTCTGCCCTCCTCACACTCTGAACAGCAGCCTTGGGTCACCTCCCGGCACGCTGTGGGTCAGGAATCTGAGAGAGGCTTTGCCGTGTGGCTTCATCTCAGGCCTCTCCTGAGGATGCAGGCAGGGCTGCAGCCCCAGGCCTGCCCAGGGTTTCAGGAGCTGTTGGAGGTGGTTTTCTCTGGGCCTGGGCACTGGATGCCAGCCGGGAGCTCAAATGGGATGGGGGCACTTGGGCTTCCTCACGCAGTCAGGTTCCCAGGAGCCTGTGTCTCCTGAGCATGGGAGCAGCGCCCAGCATGCTTACCATGGAGCATCAGGATCCACGTTGGGGCCGGGCGCAGTGGCTCACGCCTGTAATCCCAGCACTTTGGGAGGGCGAAGTGGGTGGATCACTTGAGGTCAGGAGTTCGAGACCAGCCTGGCCAACATGGTGAAACTCTGTCTCCGTAAAAATACAAAAAGTAGCCACGTGTGGTGGCGCGTGCCTGTAATCCCAGCTACTCAGGAGACTGAGGCAGGAGAATCACTTGAGCCCGGGAGGCAGAGGTTTCAGTGACCCAAGATCACTGCACTGCAGCCTGGGCAACAGAGTGAGACTTTGTCTCAAAAACAAACAAACAAACAAAAATAAGGCATGTTGGACCCAAGTCTTCCTAGGTTCAAGAAGGAACACAAACCCACCTTCCGATGGAAGTGGCCGAGGATTCTAGCCCCATGTTTTTGGTTTTTTTTAGACAGAGTCCCACTCTGCCACCAGGCTGGAGTGCAGTCTCAACTCAGCGCAACCTCCGACTCCCTGGTTTAAGCAATTCTCCTACCTCAGCCTCCCAAGTAGCTGGGACTACAGGCGTGTGCCACCAAGCCCAGCTAATTTTTTTGTATGATTTTTTGTAGAAACAGGGTTTCACCATGTTGGCCAGGATGGTCTCAAACTCCTGACCTTGTGACCCGCACACCTCAGCCTCTCAAGGTGCTGGGATTACAGGCGTGAGCCACCGCGCCCGGCCTATTTTGTGTTGTTGTTGTTTTGAGACGGAGTCTTGCTCTGTTGCCCAGGCTGGAGTGCAGTGGCACAATCCCGGCTCACTGCAACTTCCGCCTCCTGGGTTCAAGCAATTCTCCAGCCTCAGCCTCCTGACTACCTGAGATTACAAGCATGTGCCACCACACCCTCCTAAGTTTTGTATTTTTAGTAGAGATGGGGGTTTCACCATGTTGGCCAGGCTGGTCTTGAACACCTGACCTTGGGCTCCCAAAGAGCTGGGATTACAGGCATGAGCCACCGCGCCCAGCTCTAGGGCCATGTTTTAAAGCTGCTATATCCATGTGACAGGCAAGGAAGGGGGCTCAACTCACCGAGACTGCGATGGCTTGTCCAGGGTCCCACGGCAGGAGCTGGCATCCGACTCCACTCAGGCAAGTGCCTCCAGGCCCTTTCCAAATCCCAAATCCCCTCCCCTCCCAGGAGGAGCTCCCTCCACCCCTGCAGCTGTGGTCCCTGAAGACTGGATCCAGGGGTGGCCCTCACGGAGGGGTCTTCGTGGTTACACGCTTTCTGGCTCTTATTTGGGACAGAAGTCCACATCCAGCAAGTCTTACCCGGGCTGTTCTTGACGAGGGTCAGGCTCTCACTCGAGGTCAGAGGTGCTGACCTCAGGGGACCCATTGGTCTCATCTGGGGGGTCTCCACACCAGCCGGCAGAACCTCTGACTACCCTGTTCTGGGGGCCCCTCTGGGTTTCAGAGCCGGATGTTGCACCACATGGAGAAAGACGTCATAAGAGGTGGACCCACAGGAGCTGCGCAGAGAACTCAGCCTGGAGCCTTCAGGTCCCCGCTAAGCACATGTACGTGTGTGTTAGCCATGTGTGCACCTGTGTGTGCATAGACGTATGTGTGCATGTGTTAGGCATGTGTGCATGGATGTATCGTGTGTGCACGAGTGTGGATGTATGTGTGCCTGTTAGGCATGTGTGCACATGTGGATGTGTGTGGATGTGTTCGGCACATGTGCAAGTGTGTGCGTGGATGTATGGTGCGTGTGTGTCAGGCACGTGTGCCGTGTGCACCGGTGTATACACATTGCTCTGTGTGTGCACCAGCTGCACAGAGCCAGTGCCTCTGCTTCCAACCGGCTGTGTGACCTCGGGCCAGGCTCCTCACTGCGGAGCCCTGATTTTCTTCTCTGTGAAACAGCAGCGTCTGTCATCCTTTTGGGCTAGGATCCTTGGGTGACAAATGACAGAAACCCTCTTCCACCTGCCCCATCAGAAAGGGAGTCTTGGCTCAGGAGCAGGCCAGGGCATGTCCCTGCCACCAGTTCTCTGGGTAGTGTTCTTCCCAGGCAGGCCGTGCCCACACAACCATGCCAAGTGGTCCCTGTCCCACAGCTCCCCAAGCCAAGAAGAAAGCAGGGCTGCATGAGTCCCAGGACTGAGTGTCACGGGCCAGCTCGGGGCGTGTCCATCCCCGAAGCAGGCACTGTGGCCTGGGGGCAGCAGCCCCTGACTGGCCGGGCCAGGGTCCTGTGTCCACCCCAATGGACCCATGGGGTTAGAGGGAGAAGGAAAAGTATCATTTTATTAGTACGTGTGTCTCGGAGCTAAGCTGGCCTGCTTTCTCAGGCTGGGCATTGCTGGTGAAAGCCAAATCCTCACAGCTGAGCTGGCAGACATCAAAATACAGGCATGGGGGCCTGTTTTGTCCCTGCTGTCAGGCAAATCCTCACACACACCCCAAACACCCAGCAGCACGGAGCCAGGGTGGCCCAGCCTGCCCACGGGCCTGACCCCAGGGCTGCTGCCTTCTGCCATGAGAGGCCGGCAGGAGAAGGGAGGGTGGGAGGAGGGCGCTGGGGTACCCACAGCCATTCGCCACCTGCTCCACAGGGTCTGGGAGCGGCCACGTCCCTGTAGTGTGACAGCTCTGGGAAGAGATGCTCCCTCCACGGTGCCAGCTCGCCAAGCATCCTGCCCACCCGTGTCTCTGGGAGCAGCTCCCGGGGGCTCAGTGGTGGCTGTTCTGAGGTAGGTCCCACAGCACCGCCTGCTTCCTGCTAATATTACTGACCAACACCCCTCGGCTTTGTCTGAACCCAGAAACTGATGATTTCTGGCAGGAAAGCCACAGGCAGGCGGCTCAGGACCCCGACACACCCTCTGCCCAGCCGCTGAGACCCCCCCCACTCACTCACTCAGGGCCCCGACACACCCTCTGCCCAGCCCCTGAGACCCCCCACTCACTCACTCAGGGCCCCGACATACCCTCTGCCTAGCTGCTGAGACCCCCCACTCACTCACTCAGGGCCCTGACACACCCTCTGCCAAGCCCCTGAGACCCCCCACTCACTCACTCAGGACCCCGACACTCACTCTGTCCAGCCCCTGAGACCCCCCACTTGCTCAGGGCCCCTGACACCCTCTGCCCAGCCCATGACTCAGCGCCCTGACACTCACCCTCTGCCTGAACCCCCCGACCTGCTCAGGGCCCTGCAGCCTCCAGATGTGGATGGAGGGGTGTTCTCTGGAATCCTCTCCATCCTCAAAGAGACCAACGTTGGTCCTTATGAAATTCACGGACTGGCCAGGTTACCATGGTGATACCTATTATCCCTGCTTAACAGATGATGAATCAAGAGCTAAATATAGGCCCAAGTGAGTGAGCGAATGGATGGATGGATGGATGGATGGATGGGTGGATGGATGGATGATGGATGGGATGCGGGGATGGGTGGGGGGATGGGTGGATTGGTGGATGGGTAGATGAGTGGGTGGATGAATGGGTAGAGGGGTGGATGGGCGGACAGATGGATATGTAGATGGACAGATGGGTGCATGGATACATGGGAGGATGGGTGGGCCTAGATTCAGGGTTAGGACAATGTTTTTCCCATTCAAGATAATTCAGGTGAAATCTCAAATTCAGGGGGAGGAGGCTCCTGCAAGTGTCAGTGTCTGGCTGCACAAGCACCCAAGTGTGGCTGGCATCACCCAGGCTTCACCCAGTGCCCCCAGCCCGGGTCCCCACGGTGCAGGCCATGTGGGAAGCACCCATGTCGCAGCCACAACCCTCACTGAGTGGGTTCCAGGTCTGGGGAGTCCCAGGAAGCCGAGTGGAGCTCCTTTGGGGGTGGAGGCAGCCATCGTCCAGTTTACCCCCTCCCCGTGCCAAGCCTTCGCACCCCTGGGAGGGTCTTCCATTCAGTCCGGGGGTCCCTGGTGTGCTGCCTCTGGAAGATCCCCTGCCGCAGATTCACCGGCCCACCCACCAGTGCCAGGCCCAGTCCTCTGGGGGTGGTGGGGGAAGACTGAAGACACAAGACACCTGCAAGGGTTAGGGTGACATTTTATTAATCCTGAAGCCACACAGGCAGACCCCACAGGCCTGAGCACAGAGGCCAGATGGCAAAAAGCACAGGGCGGGTCAGGGGCACCAGCAGGGACAGAAGGAAGCTGACTGTGGGGACAGGGTGTCCGGGTGCCCCGGGCTTTCTCGGGGGCTGGGGTGCTGCCTTGCTGGCCCTCCCCCGCAAAGATCAGATGCAAAGCAGAGCCCCCAGCCCGTGCCCCTTCTCACTGGGGTAGGGTCTCCCTGGATGAGCTCCCAGGCCCTGCAAGTCCCTCACAATCTCCCTCCCTGCACCCACCTGGCTCAGGCAGGGCCAGGCATGGGGGCCTATATTTTGTCATCCTTCAGCCTTGGGGTCCCCAGACCTGGTGGGGCCTGGCGGCTTTGGGGAGGTCAGAGGGAGCTTAAGGGACCTCCAAAGGTGCTGGAGATGGAAGCTCTACAGCCCCACCTTCCCTGACCCTCCCCACCCCCTCCATGTCTTCATGGGGTGCAGCGTGGGCTGGCCTCTGGGGCAGGGGGGCCCAGGCCTCTCGGGGGCAGGCCTCTGTGGCTGTAGTACTCCACCACCTGCTTCGGCACCTCAGCCAGCACGCACTTGGCCAGCGCCGCTGGGGACGCCTGGAGGGCAGGACAACGTGATTACGTCTGGGACCTTCAAGATCGTCTGTCTGTCCCCACACCTGGGCCACAGCCAGGCCTCGTCCTCCAGAGCTGGGGCCTTTGCACCCTGGTGACTTCCCGCCCCCACCAGGGGCTCACCTGGGGCCCGGGCCAGCCTTGCTAAGGACGTCGGCCACATGAGGCTGCATGTGGGTAATTCCAGCCCCCCAGGCACAGAGAGGAAACAGGCGGCCTGGGAGGTGAGGCAAGGCCCCCTCCACAGCCCAGGTCCCCCCAGCAAAGCCCAAGTGTGTCTGTGTGGCGTGGATGTCCTCCTGCAGAGCTTCATGTGTCTGTAACGTGTTTCGCTGTGTGGAATGTCATGTGTGTCTGCCTTCATGCATGTCTGCAGCATCTTGCTGTGCAGAGCCTCAGGTGTCCGTGTGGCACACACATCTTACTGCAGAGGCATGCAGTGACATGCGTGCCTCACTGTGTGGAACCTCGTGTGCACTGTGGGTGTCTCACTGGGTCACAGAGGTTGGCAGCAATGGGGGATGGATCCAGCTACATGCTGGAGCCCCGAGCCCCTCATGCTGTTCTCTGCATTTGTGTAGATTTGATGAGCTTCACAATGGGAGGCTTTTCAGGTGCTGAAAGCCCCAGCTTCAGGTACTGCTCTCGATCAGTGGAGAACAGCCTGGGACCCCCAGACGCAAGATGGGACCTGCCACGTCCATTGGCGTGAGCCTGGCCTGGGAGGGCCTGGGGCAGTGGTATGCACAGGGACCCCAGGTCGGCCTCTGCCGAGCCCCCCGAGACACTCACGTTCTTGAGCTCCCGGAAGGGCACAAACTGCACTATGTCTCGGAGCGCAGGCTCACCCCGGGGGGAGCGCAGGACGCCGTCATCACCGTCCAGGACCTGCATGTCGGTGAAGTCGGCGTTGCCCACGCCCACGATGATGATGGACATGGGCAGGCGTGAAGCGCGCACGATGGCCTCCCGTGTGTCGGCCATGTCGGTCACCACACCGTCCGTCAGGATCAGCAGGATGTAGTATTGCTGGGGGCAGAGGAAGAAGTGGGCAGCACCGCACCTGCTGTGCCCACGTGCACCCCGCAACCCATAGGCCCCCAGAGAGCCCAGAGCGGCCTTCGCGGGTCAGAGCTTCCTAGGACCGCCTTCCAGAGGGTGACGTCTGTGTCACAGGCATCATAAGCAACGATGGGTCAGGGTCCCCCACCCCGCCCTGCGGCGGGCAGTCAGCTCTGGGCCTCCTGTGCCCCAGCTCAGAAAATGTCCACAAGTCTCACGGAGGGCTCTGGAGGGGATGCTATGAAGCCCGAATTTTACAGATGAGGTTGCGGTGCCAGATGGGTGGTCTGAGGCCAGAGAAGGAGAAACGTCCACTCCCAGGAACCAGACCTGGACCTGCACACCCTGGCTCTATCTCTCCAGGGCACCTGCTGTGCAGTAACAAGACAGAATGGAACTTCAAGTAAAATCCATTGCTTAAAAAAACACCCACTTGAGGGGCAGGGGGAAGAAAAAAGAAAAAAACCCACTCAATCATTCTGCTGAGACTGCGGACAACAAGAAACGAGAAACAGGGCTCGCCCGAGCTGCTGCCCCGGGGCCGGGCGGTCCCTGCCATGGGCAGAGCGGAAGCCCACAGCAGCCTCTCCCGGGCTGGCCTTGGCTGAGCCCTTCCCATGGAGGGTAGATGGGTCCTGGAAAGGAACAGGGGCCCCGGGACCCGCTCAGATGTCACTTTCTCCAAGGGGCTCTGCTCTGCGCCCTCCCCATTGCCCCTCTGGAGCCCCAGGCCTGTGGGAAGAATTACCTGTTTGCAAGTCCGTCTCTGGTCCAGGGCTACATGCACCCACAGCTGTGCACAGCCTGGCTCTCAGCCCCCAGATAAACAGCCCAGCCTCAGAAAGCCCCCCACCCCCTGCAAACTGTGCAAATACCAGGCACCAAAACCCACCGTGGGGCCTGCTAGGACGGAAGCTTGGTGTCTGGAGAGGGATGGAGGGCTCAGCTGATCATGTCTGAGTCCTCATTTCAACCCAGGTCTAACCACAGAAAACCATGTCACAGGTAAGCACGGGAAACACAACTCCAGACAATGGGCAACGCCAGGAGTGGTGGTTTAGGTGTGACCAGGTGTCCTGGCTGTTTAAAGAGTGCTTATCTTCATGACAGGCTGAAGCTGACATGCACAGATGAAACTGTCTGAGACTCGCTTCAAAACACCACGGAAACCTGACAGGCAAACCCAAGCCTGGATTCTGGACTGGGTCCTCTGCCAGGAATAACGCTGCTCGGGAAGTTATTGTTGGGCCAATCAACGAAACTGGAACACATTCTATGCATTAGATAAAAGTATTGCATCTAAATAAAATTTCCTGAAATCTGTATTTGTGCTGCAGTCATATGAGAGGATATCTTTGCTCTTATGAAATGTACATAAAATATTAAGGGGTAGAAAGCATGACACTGCAACCTGCTCTCAGTTCACAAATGTGTGCGCCTGTGTGTGCGCATGTATGTGTGTACGCATGTGTGCATGTGTGCGTGCATATGTGCTCATGTGTATGTGTGTATGTGTGTGTGCGTGTGTGCTTGTGTTTAGGTATGTAACCTGTGTGTGCACGTGTGCATACGTGTGTGTGCATGTGTGTGCACATGAATGGATGAGTGTGTGCATGTGTGTATACATGTGTGCGGGAGCATGTGTGCACGTGTATGTGTGTGCACATGTGCATGTGCGCACATCTGTGTGCATGCACGTATATACGCATGTATGCATGAGTGTATGCCTGTATGTGTGCGTGTGTTCATGTGTGTGCGCATGTGCACATGTGTGTGCGCGTTTGTGTGTGCGTGAATGTGCAAGCACGTGTATACATGTCTGTGTGTGCGTGCGTATGTGTGTGTGCATGTGTGTGCAGTGCCAAATTTAAAAAGCGTCAGAGTATCACAATAATATTTGCATAAATTAAAAATAGATGCAAGCAGATACAGGGTTCCCATTTGGCATGAAGATGTAACTAGATGTAGGTGATGTTTGTTCATCACGAATGTACTCAGTGCCTCTGAACTGGACACATTAAAACGGTTACGGACACATTAAAATGGTTACAGGTGGCTCACACCTGTAATCCCAGCACTTTGGGAGACCGAGGAGGGCAGATCACTTGAGGTCAGGGGTTTGAGACCAGCCTGGCCAACATGGTGAAACCCCACCTCTACCAAAATATAAAAATTAGCCAGGCATGGCAGCGGGTGCCTGTAATCTCAGCTACTCGGGAGGCTGAGGCAGGAGAATCTCTTGAACCCGGGAGGCGGAGGCTGCAGTGAGCCAAGATCACAGCACTGCACTCCAGCCTGCACGACAAACGAGACTCCATCTCAAAAAGAGACAGAGAAAAAGGTTACAATGGTAAATTTAAAACTGTGCATATTTTATCACAATAAAAAACTGAGAAGATAAAACAGACGAATAGAAAATGACACGGACACGAAGCGGAAGTGTGACACGTGAGCAGCTCGTGGCCCCCCCGCCGCAGGGCCTCGGACATCTTCTAACTTTTCAGTAAATTTAAACTTATTTCAAAGTAAAAAGAATAAAACTTTTAAAATTCAGAAAGGGGTGTAGACAGGGCCACTCCTGAGCTGGATGATAAATCTGTGGGGATTTATTCTGCTATTTTTTGACTTTTTCTTTTTTTGCTTTTTAGAGACCGGAGTTCGCTCTGTCCCCCAGAGGGACAACCTCCCAGGCACAGGTGAGCCTCTAGCCTCAGCCTCCTGAGTAGCTGGGACCACAGGGGCACACTACCATGCCCAGCTAATTTTTTACTTCTTTTTTGTAGACACAGGGGTCTCACTCTGACATCCAGGCTGGTCTCAAACTCCTGGACTCAAGCAATGCTCCCACCTTGATCTCCCAAAGTGCTGGGATTAAAGGTACAGGTGGCTGCACCGGGACTGTTTCTTGACTTTTGATGTTTGAAATTCTCAGTAATAAAATATTTTTTTAAATGGAAAAAAATTAAGGATAGAAATTGCTTAAAAAGAAAGGGCAAGCCTGGGCATGGTGGTGAGCACCTATGGCCCCAGCTACTCACTCAAGAGGCTGAGGCGGGAGAATCACCTGAGCCCAGGAGGTGGAGGCTACAGTGAGCTGTGATCTCGTCACTGCACTCCAACCTGGGTGACAGAATGAGACCCTGTCTCAAAAGAAAAGAAAAGAAAAGAGAAAGAACAAAAAAATAAAAGAAAAAGAAGAAGAAGAAGAAGAAGTGTTCTTCTGTCACTCAGAAGAACAAATACTGCATGATTCCACTTAGAGGAAGTATTTATAATAGTCAAAATCATAAAATCAGAGAGTGAAATTGTTACGAGGGGTGGGGGAGAAGAGCACGGCAATGAAAAGTTACTAATCAAGGGCATAAAATTTTCATTTAGAAAGATGAATAAGTTCTAAAGATCTGCTGTGCAATACTTCTCTAAGGTAAATAGTCTTTATTGCACACTTAAAAATTTGCTAATACGGGCCGGGCGCGGTGGCTCACGCTTGTAATCCTAACACTCTGGGAGGGTGAGGCAAGTGGATCACCTGAGGTCGGGACTTCAAGTCCAGCCTGCAAAACCCTGTCTCTACTAAAAATTAAATAAAGAAAGAAAGAAAAGAAAAAAAGAGAAAAGGCACCGACGAACTCACTCTGAGCAGAAGGCACACTTGCCTGGCTCACCAAGGTCCATCCTTCCCTGGCCACACGGTCAGGGTCTCTCAAATGGGCTGCTCCTGGCCAAAGTCCCCGTGCGTGCAGGATCACGGGCAGCTCAGCACCCAGCACCCAAAAGGAGGGGGCAAGAGGAGCTGCACAGCCCTGAAGGGGCCCCTGCCCGCCCTCCCTGCAAAGCCCCCGCCCACCCTCCCTGCAGAGCCCCCGCCTGCCCTGCCTGCAAAGCCCCCGCCTGCCCTCCCTGCAAAACTCCTGCTCCTGGAGCTTGGCTTGTGAGGGCTCTGTGCCCAGGAAAGTAAAATGTGGGGGCTACCCCCTTCCAGGATGCTGGGCAGTTGGGCAATAGGGCCACACATGGCCAGCGTCTGGACAAAGTCAAGGTGGTACAGGAGGAGAGCAAGGTAGGAGCAGCCCAAATCAGGGGCCAAGGCCTGGCGGGGCCAACCCCGGCTCTGCTCAGCCCTGGGAACAGAGCTGCTCTGGAGAACTGCCTACAACCCCCTCCACTTCAGAACTAAACTGTACGGTCTCCAACAAGAATGTCCTTAAATTGGCAGGTCAATGTGAACAGCTTCAGTGGGAGGCAGGTAGCTTGCTCTCAAAGGCTTTAGAAAGCAAACAGTTAATCCCAACACTGTGGTGAGGCGGGCGGATCACTTGAGGTCGGGAGTTTGGGACCATCCTGACCAACATGGTGAAACCCCATCTCTACTAAAAATACAAAAATTAGCTGGGCGTGGTGGCGGGTGCCTGAAATCCCAGCCGTTTGGAAGGCTGAGGCATGAGAATCATTTGAACCTGGGAGGCGGAGGTTGCAGTGAGCCGAGATCACACCACTGCACTCCAGCCTGGTGACAGAGTGAGGCCTTGTCTCCAAAAAAAAAAAAAAAGAAAAAAAGCAAGCGAAAAGTGACCCTGCACAGGTGGGGAGAGGCCGGGGAGGGCGGCTGGCCAAGTTACAGGGACTCTGAGTCCAAGCGAAGGGCAGCCCGGAGCTGCTACACCTCTCTTGCCATCCATAAATTTCATGTTTCTCCAAAATAAAATATTAAAAGAAAGCAACAGGCTGGGTGCAGGGGCTCACGCCTGTAATCCCAGACCTTTGGGAGGCCAAGGCAGGTGGATCACAGCATCAGGAGTTTGAGACCAGCCTGGGCAACATGGTGAAACCCCGTCTCTGCCAAAAATACAAAAATTAGTCGGGCATGGTGGTGGGTGCCTGCAGTCCCAGCTACTGAGGAGGCTGAGGCAAGAGAATCGCTCGAACCCAGGAGGCGGAGGTTGCAGTGAGCTGAGATCGCGCCATCGCACTCCAGCCTGGGTGACAGAGGGAGACGGAGACTCCGTCTCAAAGAAAGAGAGAAAAGGCAACAGGCTGGCTGTGACCCCAGAGACACATGCAGGGCCACAGAACGCGGAGGCGAAGTACAGCCCAGCGCCGCTCTCAGCACCATATCATTTGTGCAGAGTAAAGACACATGCAAACAAAATGGTGACGCGCATGCAGCCAAACGGTGGAACGGCAGAGGGGCAGCGTCGCTGAGCTGTGGCCACGACGCTGTGAGGCGATGGACAGCCCTGTGGCCGGGGCCCCAGCAGCGCCGGGGGAGATGCAGTCGGCCCGCTGTGGCCCCCGCACGCCCGAGCTCCATCCTGACGGCTGCCCCCTCTGCTGGTTCCCTCTGCCTGCCTGCCTCGCTGACCTCCACCCGCTGGTGCCCATGCAGCTGACCCCACAGCCCGCATGCACCACGCCCCCTGGGCACCTACAGAAGCTTCAGCGGTGCGCTCCTCGGCCGCCGCCACACGTGCCACCTTGGAGATGATGGGCGCCACGTTGGTGGGGCCGTAGAGCTGGACCCTGGGCAGGCAGTTCTGGTAGGCCTCCACGACACCCTGGATGCCTGTTGGGGGCAGGGGTTGAGCCGGGCCCCCTGCACCCCCTCCCCGGGCCTGCCGTGGGCGCCTACCTTCACACTCGTCGTCCTCAGGATTGAAATTGATGGCAAAGTCATGGGACACCTGGGTGGGGACAGGAGAGCTCCGTCAGCTGCTCCACCCTCCACAGCCCCCATGTCCCCCCTACTGAGAGAGGGAGGTTTGGAGCTTTAGTGGAAGTCGACCCTGTGCGTGGCCATGCTCTGCAGAGCCCAGGGACAGAGCGGGAGACGCCCCGGACCCAGCAGTGCCTGAGGTTTACATCAGCCAGTCAATCCCCATACACCATTTTTTCTGCTGAAGCCAGTTGAATTGTTACGTGCAATAGAAGATTCCAGACCAATGTGCTTCCCCATCTCCTGAAGGAACGTGGAGCTGGTCTCCACACACCCTTCAAGCTAACAAGTCCTAGGAAGTCAAAGGCCAACCTCTGGCGGGAAGGGTAACGTTCCCGCTTTGCGCCCCAATCCCATCCTACCAGGGATCCCTGGGCCAGGCCACCCTCTCCCGGGACCTGTGGGACGGGCGCAGCTCCGAGGCCTCGGGCTCTCCTACCTCATACTTGGGAGGAATCCGGGCTCCAAACCCCAAGGCAGAAAACCTCTTGTCGCTGGAAGAGACGCAGGCCGGTCACCAGGGGCCCTGAGCTCACGTGGCTGCTGTGAGGGCCGCTTCTGGGGAGACACGACTGGTGCCCAGGACACGAGGCCAAGTGCGGCCAGGCCCGGCGATCACGGCAGTAAGCACGGGCCATAATCAGGAAACTGGTCTCGGGCAGCAGATGCACCAGCCAGCGCGTAGGATGGGGAGCCGTGGACAGTCCCAGCTGCCCTCGGGCTGGCCTCCCAAGGCCATGCCTGTGCACAAGCTGTCCCCCTGCAGATGCCTCCTCGGGGGGCTCCTGGACACCAGGAGGGGTCATGTGGGGCCAAGGCAACCTCTGTGGCCCTCACGAACTCAGAGGGGTCTGTGGGGAAGAGCTCAGGGCGTCCTCTCCCAAGCTCCAGGCCAGGACCCTGCGTTGTGGGGAGGCGCTCAGGGCCCTCCCTGGCAGAGCATCTGTGGGTGAACCCCAAGCCTCTGTGGCCTCGGCTTGCTGGTCTGGCAAAGTGGGACACAGACGTCCCCAGGGCCATGTCGGCCTGAGACTCTGGGGCTGCTACGATACCCAGCCTTCCTCGCAGCTCTCCAAGCGGACCACCTCACGCACAGTGCCCACCTCATGGGCCCCAGGCCTGACCTGGAGCCCAGGGACGGAGCGGCTGCGAGGAGCCCAGGGGCGGAGCGGCCGCGAGCAGGGCACACCTGTCGTAGTCCTGGCAGACCTCGCCCACACACACCAGGGCCTTCAGGTACTCGTTGGGCTGGTAAGGGTTGATGTAGTGCAGCGAGCAGCTGTTTCGCGGGTCCCCGTTGGAGGCGGTGAAGTCGATGGCCACCTGCAGTGGGCGGGGGCGGGCCGGGCTGTGCTTCGCCGGGCTCCCGGAACCGCTCCTGACAGGTAGAGAAACCTCGCCCAGACCCGCCAGGACTCAGGGTCGGGGGCTGCGTGCATGGGTGGGGCTGTCCCCCTACTACACAGGGCCAGGAGGGGTCTCCCCAAAACCTGCCAAGCCCTAGGCTCTCTGAATCCCCAGGACGCCCCACTGGGATCACCCTGGCCTTCTGGGGGCCCGCCCATCCCTCTTAGCAGCCACCTGACCCCTTTACCACCCTCCGCTAGCAGGGCCTGAGAGGACCCAGCCTGGGATGACCCCTCCACACCTCCCACAAGCTGGCTTCTCACAAAGCCATTCCGGGGCTCCCTCAACAAAACAGGAACAGAGCATCTGCAAACAACACACGGTGACACGGGGCCTGCGTACAACACAGGGTGACACAGGGGCCTGCGTACAACACATGGGTGACACGGGGGTCGGTGTACAACACACGGTGACACGGGGGTCTGTGTACAACACACGGTGA